CCAGTTCTTTCTGCTTGGGTCGCAAGAGAGGGAAGGTCTTTCCTCTGGGTAGCTTCGCGTCTGGCACCAGGTCTATGGCGTGGTCCCAGGGCTTTCGGGGGGGTAGCTGATCGAAGGCTTCCTTAGAGAACACGTCCCGGAAGTCCTGGTAGTGCTCTGGCACCAACGTCTCAAACGGCACGGGCTCTGCCCCCAGGTCGTGGGCCTCCTGGGCCATCCGCTGGGATGGTGTCGTGGTCGCTCTCAGGTCGTATCCCCACCCCGGGGGATGATCGCAGCGTAGATCCCGTCCCCGGGCTCTACCGTGAGGTTTTGGTCATCTCCCACTCGCGGCCCCCTGCAGGAGGATGGGCAGCGGGACATGACGACCTTCTGTCATGCCCAGTCCACCTCTGGGTTGTGATGCAGCAACCACGAGTGCCCTATGATGAGGGATTGGCGTCCCAGGTTTGCAACTGCAAAGCGGGCCCATTCTGTATGTCGTCCAAACGTCAGGAGAGCTTCCAGTTCTTCGGTTATGGCCCCATTCTCGTTCAGGGTGCCATCGACGTTGCGAACGGGTATGGGCTGTGGGAGCGGGGTGGTCTCGAGCCTGTGCTTCCGGACGAAGTCAGGGCTCACGAAGTTCCCGGTGGCCCCTGAATCCAGGAGGGCTGACACTGATATGGGGGCGAGAGAGGTCAGGGCGGTCAACGTCACCGTGAGGTTGAGTGACCTGGGGGATTGTTTGGAAAGGACGTAAATGGTGGGTGGAGACACTGCTACTTCGGGCGTTAGCTCTGGGCATCTCTCACTTCTGTGGGCAGAGGATGCGCTTTTCCTCTTTTTCTTTGTGATAACTCGATGGAATTTCTGCAGTGGTGTTGACTCGCGCACGTTGCGGTATTTACACGGGTTATCTTCTACAGGCGGCCGGGGCGCATCTCTCACCGGTCGCCTTCCTGAAAATCCTCTTCCTGGGGGTCTGGCCTCGTCTCTCCCTCTTCTGCCTCTGGTCCCTCACCCAACTGCCTCTTCAGCCCTTCCATCAAAGCTCGTAGGTCCTCCGGATGCAGGCGTCAGACTCGGTGGACCTTGGGGTGCGGGCACTCTTGTGCGACATGGCCTGGGGCGTTGCAATTGTAGCACAACCCCTTCCGTCTTTGGTCAGTCCTCGATCGGTCGAGGTCCATTGGTTGTGGACCTGTTCCTGACGTGGGACGGGTTGTGGGGGTTGGGGGTGCGGGTGCAGGCGTAGGTCGCGAGGTGGTGGGTGTGGGCCGCGCGTAGGGGGGGGTGGTGGCTAGAGGGGGTCTGGTTGGTGGTGCTTGTGGCTGGGTGGCCTGGAAACGTCGCCACTGGTTGTCGAGGAGGGTGGCCTCGCGTTTCCATTCAGCCCAGGTGGTGGGCATAGGGCGGAGACGGTAAATGCTCTCGCGGAGCCGGGCGTTGATCGCTTGCTCGAAGCGGTCGACCAGCCCTATGTCACCCAGTCTTGAGGCAGGCCCTAATATCTCGAACTCCTGGATGACCTTGTCCACAGAGTCGTTCCCCTGTCAGATGGCCGCCAGCTTCTGCCGGGCGGTGGCTTCCCAATTTGGGTCCTGGAACATGTCGTCGAGTTCCGTGTTGAACTCGTCCATGGTGAGTGCCGGGGACCCTGCCGTCAACAGCGAGATCGTGCGTTGTGTTGCCCATGCTCCTGCCGGCCCTCCCTTCATGTAGGACAACACGAAGAGAATCTGGGAGAGGGCAGTGGGGAACTCGGATGCGCGGACGTGGAAGTAGATTCCACATTCGGCTTTGAAACGGTCCAGGTCCTCACTGGCTCCCGAGAAGGGTGTGGGGGGGGTGACCTTAGGTGGCTTGGGTCTGGGGGCGGGTGTGGGAGCGGGTGTGGGTGTGGGGGTGGGCGCGGGTGCAGGCGCAGGAGCAGGTGGGGGATGGTTAAGGACTTGGTTCTCCACAATAGCCTGCAGTTCCTGGAACCGGGCTAGGAGGTCATCGTACTGTTCTTCCGTCACCATGGCAGGGGAGGCAGGGGAGGCGGGGGAGATGAAGTTGAAGCCTTCTTCTGCTGTCAGGGACTCGTCCGGGGTCGAGGGGGTCCGGGTGTAGCGTCTGGGACCGAGAGCCTGGCGGGGGGCGGATCGGGCGTGCGTACTGACAGGCCCGATGCGGGACAGTGGTCCCTGGCCACTTAGACTGAAGTGGAAAGTTGTTATTGTCATTAAAGGATATTGTACTACTTACCTGAAGTGGAAAGTTGAGAAGAAGGCTACTTCTTCGGTTCCCACTTCAGGTTCGTTTATATACATGCGGCTTGGATCACATGACGGGTGCCACGTCACCCTTGCACACAGCCGTGACCATCCGGGTGTCTCCATGGGAGATCCCGAGGGCATCCGGTGCAGGCGCACGTGCTGGGCACAGCGGGAAGTCGCCCAAGGTGCCCGGGCCGGGTACATGGTGGGCGCGCTGCAGATGGGTCAATGGTACATTGATACAGAGAAAGTCGTCCGTGTAGAATAAAGAGAGAATAAAGAAGAAGTAAGATAAGGAGAAACTGAGGAGGGAAGGATGAGGGGGGAAGAAGGGAAAGGGGGAGGAGGTAAGGAAGGGTGGACCAGCAGGGTACCGGGTCAGGTTGGGCCGGGTGGAGCCAGGTCAGGCAGGTGTGCCCTGACACCATCCCCGGCCATCGACTTCCGGTCCCTCCGATCCCTCCAGTCTACCTCCGCTCCTTCTCCACTAACCTTGGAGCTCCCGTATTCTGCAATCCCCTCGGTACCCCTCGATGGTCACCATCCCCTCCTTTCAATTTATTACCTATGCCTCCCTAAGTACAGAGCCCCGAAGACTTCCGGACAGCTCCGACGTCCGCTAGTGCACTCCCACCTCCGCTGGGCAATACACTCGCCTGCCCTGCAGAGTCCACCTTCAGGCCTATCCCTCCTTTCCGTTTCTGGGTTATTGCCTGCCTTTCCGTTAACCCCGTAACCCGACTCGTCGGTAATATTCAGTCAGCTAATGTTTAACCCCGTTAGCTCCACTCCACTCGGCTCCACCATTTGCGGACCCGTCTTCGCTGTAACTATATATATATCCAACTTGTACATAGGTTACACTTCAGTAATAAAATCGACTAGAGTTTACCCCCCTTCAGTTCTGGTTGCCAGTTAGTAAGTTAGGGCATGGATGTGTTACTTGGCACAGCGCTCCTGGCATAAGTCACTGAGGCCGAAGCCCTCCGCCACAGAGACTTTCCCTCATCTCAACCTGGTCTCTGACAGCACTGCACCATGCCACTCCCCTTCTCTTCTTCCCCTCTATCCTTATACAGTGCAAGCAGGCTAGAGATCTAACCCCCTAAATGCAAGCAAATTCATGGGGAGGGAGTCTGGGATGTCCTAAGCTCGTCCTAGGTTCAGTCTGGGTGCTAACAAAACAAAAATAATCACAAAAACTTGTTAAGAATTATGTACCCCTGGTCCATCTTGGACAATCATCAGGGATTCCTTATAATACTCAAGGAGTCAAGCTTAGAATTTCTCTCTCTTACTTGGATCTCTCAGCACTACAGTCTCTTTGTAGTCAAAAGGGAGGTCGCTTTTCCATTCCTGTGTGTACAGAGCTTTTAAACACATGGAACGGCAATAATGTGGAAAAACAAATGAAAAGAAAATATAAAATGAAAGATTGTTGTTACGGACACCATGTGGACCATTAAGTATGGCCGATAAGTCCAATGGCCAATGTGGAAGTTCAATAAAAGAAAGACAGGAGTGATAAGTGGGCCATATCTGCTAATAATTGCCATCCTCCACCAATTTCCACCATCACACTACACTCATCCATCTCTTCCTACCCATAGCATCCCTTCCTGACCTCTCCATTAGATTCCCCAGGTTCATAGCTTTCTCCCGATACCAAATTTGTCCCAAATGGTTGAGATTTGACTGAGTGGTGGGCATGATAATCGTAAAATTGGCCTGTGCACAGGGTTAGACATCCCAGACAGTGTCCGTGAGAGTCCCCATGTCAATTGGATCTTCATACGCATCCTTTGTGATTCTTCTGAATTTTTCTGAGCACTCCAGAGTGCATTTTGGTTGTTTGTTTACTTCAGTACAGCTTGTGATTTCCATTTTGGGCTGAAAACAAGTTTCACAATCTCCCAAAGTGCAGACCTCAGCTCTGCTGCATGGGACTTTCGACACCGCCACCTTCACATGCCTTTCAACATTGTGCAGAACCTCACGGTAAGATGAGAAATCGTCACCACCATTGTTCCACAACGGCTGGGTCGATCTGGATGAAAGTCGGGGAATCCATATTTATGATTTTTCTCTATTCTCCGAGCCCTTGATCGTCTTTTGGTGGCCAGTAGTGCCAAGCATAGTTTTTGGGCTAGACCAATTCAGTACCAGCATGTTATGTGCAATTGTACTCCATAATAAAATGAAATAAAATGTTTTTATGCACCATGGGCATTGGTAGGTGATCATCACATATGGGGAATCCTTAAGGAACATAAACTGCGAAAATACTGGCAGTGCAAGGTATAGTAGGTTATCCCACCTACAACGGATGACCCCCTTTCTCCCACATCTGTAGCATGGACATGTCCGATGCTGAGCATCCCACATGGGTACTGCGATGCTGGGCATGCCATACATTCTTACTTGTACTTCTCTCCTCTGACACTCAGGATCGACCGTGGAGCCACCCACAACAACCCGGCTTCATCCGAGGCTGATGTGGCACCTCCACATGACCTACTTTCACATGTATATAAACTAAGCCGAAGCAGGGCTGGGGAGGCAGCCTTCTTCTTATTCCTGCTTCAGCCTAAGAAGCCACACAGGGACACAAGCCCAAGTAAGGGCTACCCATCATACGGTCTCACCACCCCACCATCGTCTGGGCCGCTAGCGCCAAGCACTATGCTGCTACCTCCACCTCTTTAGAGCCATCCTTGACAGGGAGAAGATGAGAATGACGGACCAATCATCGATCCTATGCTGTTTGCTGTGTCTCTGTTGAGAATCCTGCATGCAGCCTTATCCCCAGGAAGCAGTGATAGACCATCTTCATCCTCATCCCTTGGCACTACCATTCCCCCAGCCCATGCCCATGTGAAGAGGTGTGCAACAGATGACCTAGAACAGATTATGTCATTCTCTTCATCATCAAATTGTATTGTGTCCTCCTCACCTCTCCATTCAACATTTGAGCTTCCCAAACATGCATATGGACATCTTGGCAACCTGTCACCTATCAAGTGGGATCTCACAGACAACTGTGACTTGGCATTGAAGACCCAGACCAAATTGATGAAAGGAATCTATGAAACTTGGCATGAGTTTCAGAAGGTGAAGGTGTTAGTGGAGAGAGCCATCAATGCAGTAGATGCAACAAATGCTCAGCTGGCATTAGGAGGGATGTATGTGTCTAAGGTCCAGACACAACTCCTGACATGGGAGGAGACAGAGAAGTCAAAGGAGGATGGTGGTCGCATCAAGGGAACATTCGGTCGTGTTGTGACACATCAGGGCTTTTTGAGGGACCAAGCCAAGCATAATCAAAGAAAATTAGATGAGGGAGAGTTGGAGAGGCTAAAGGAAGAGGCCAGGGAGTGGTGGAAGAAGCTCAATGAGGCACAAAAAGCAGAGGTTGCAAGATGGCATGAAGAAAAAGGGCACTTTGCTGCACTCAAACAGAAAGTATCTCCTAAGCCATCAGAGGTCTTAATGAGGGCCTGGATGGCTGAAAACTACCCACAGCTTCAACAGAACAAGAATCCTGTGACACTGGAGGCCCTGGAGAACATAGAACAAGCAGTGATGGACAGAGACAACAGTCCAGCATGAGCATGCGAAAGCGGTGTCACTGTTAGAACCAGGCAAGAGCAGACAATTCCGGAGTGGAACCGGAGACTTAGCAAGGAGGGACCTTGGCCTCAGCAACTCAAGGGGAGCACTGTGCCATTGCTCTTTGTCCATTTGGTCCTTAATTTTAGAAGCAGTGAGCAGGAAGTCTCTAGGGGGCATTTCTGGTCAATTCTAGACTGAGGGTCTAAAACGAGTATGTACAAGCACCTGTATATAGTGGGGAGACAAAAGCACAAGGAAATCAAAGGGGGTCCAAATTGGAACAAAGGTGTCCAAACGGAGACAAGGGGATGACAGAAGTGGAGCGGTACTGAAGGTCATGGGTTAGACTCTATGGTACATCCAAAAGGAGGTAGGGAGGGTGAAGCCCAGAGTGTCAGGGCACACCTGCCTGACCCCGCACCATACTGCCCTACTCCGCTTCCCCCGCTATCACTCCCCATCCCTCCTTCCTCACTTTTCCCCTTTCTCTCTATTTCTATTCTATGGTCGATTTCCCTTTTCTCCATGTACCACTACATACCTAACCCCGTTCCCCTGATCGTCGTATGCACTGTGCACACTCCTGCCTACCAAGCGGCTACCTCCAGGATCTCCTGCAGAGACACCCAGGGAGGTGCAGCTGTGTGCGGAGATGACGTGGCTTCCTCCACGTGACCCTAACCGCATGTATATAATAGCGCCTGGGGTGGGAACAGAAGAAGCAGCCTTCTTCTCAACTTCCCACTTCAGCCTAAGTGGTCGGGGACGCTCACCCCGCGACGGGACCGCCACTACGCATAGCCGACACCTGTCCCATCGAGTCCCTCGCGCCGGGACCTCGCCACTTTTGGAGCTGTCCCTGACACAGAGGGGCAGGAGGATGAGGTGAAGTGGGGTTGATGACTAACTGGCTAAAATGAAAGGAAGCAGTAGTCCAAATAGGGATGAGGGAAAGTGCGAAAGATACATTACAAGTGGCAAAAGTGCTGAGTATGGTCCGTGAAGCTCGGAGGTTGCAGAGCTTATGGAGGTTGCAGAGGTGGGGTTGGAAGTCCGAGGAATATTGGCAATGGTGTTTACATAGAATGAGGTCACCAATGCAATGGACTTAAGCCGAGGTGGAGTCAAAGTCCAAGGTCAGAACCATGATGGAATCTCAGAGTGAAGGTATGGGCGGTGTCCAAGTATGGGGTACAGGACAGCAGGAGGTCATAACTTGGCGGAGGTTAGCAGAAGAGGGATGGAGGAGAGGAGTGAGGTGAAGAGGTGACATGAGGAGCGAGGAGGGGAGTGGTGAGGAGTGATAGGAGTGATGAGGAGGAGTGAGAGGAGAAGTGATGTTTGGCCTGAAGATGGATATCAGAGTGGAACGGAGGTAGGGTAGGACTCCGGAGGTGGTGAAGCAGAGGGTCCAGGAGTCGGATCGGGATCGGGTATGTATGGATATGACAGTCACAGCATGTCACACTTCACCATTGAGGGGTGAATTGTCAGGGCCCGGCCTTGGACTCGGAGGCTCCCTGACCTCAACCTCCATCTAACCTGTCCTCACACTATGCAGGGCATGAGATGTATAGTAAAAGGAAGAGAGTATATACACTTGCCTATGTGGGGCATGAGATGAGAAGAAGGGTAAAGGTCTCATCTCCCCGCATGGTTGCTATATAAAGGAATGGGTCACATGCCCACAACTATACAGCTCCTAGAGTTGTGTAGTGTGACCCAGAGGGAACATCCAGGTGGCAGTGCCCAGTAAGTGTGGGAACGTTCTGGGCGAGTTGCTTGCCCAGAATTGTGGCTGTGACCCGTGGGAACATTCTGGGCAAGCCGCTCACTCAGAAAGTTCCCACACTATCCCGTGCATGCATACAACACACAAAGGCAACAAGGCAACAGTCAAAGAATAAAGGGGGTAAAGTAGGTGGGGAGTCCGGGGCACCCTAAGGCAGGGTGCTGAACCCTGACATGAATGGATTGTTTTAGCACTTCCTCACATGCTCACCTTGTAACATAGAAATCCTTATAATATTGGTTGTGATTGGTAGATATTTACATTCCTAATACTTTAGGAATTTATCAATTTTTTTACTCAGGTGTTGCAATGCTATGGTTTGGATTAGTGAAATGTTCACCATTGGGGGGTGAAAAACTGTATTCAATTTTCAGACTGTCCCCTCAATTCAGTTCTCATTATTTCTTGGGTCTCCGAAAGTATTTTCCATTTTTTCTTCCTCAATTTTGCAAATAATTATATATCCTGAAAGCACTTCAAAGGCACTACAGTTCCTGAAAATTTTGATTTTTTCCCTAATTATTTTTTTCAACTTTTTAGAAGTCCCTATTTTTCAAATTTTCCTCATTTCCCTCTAGATTCCCCCCTCATTCTCCCCCATTTCCCCCCCCCCCCCCTCCATATTCCGCAAGCCCAAAAGTGATTAAGTTGCCAGATTAATCATCAGGCAGCATCACAACTTAACCAGGTTCGGATTGAACCAGAAACCAAACTGTCACTGACAAAATTACTTGATATTTAATAGAGGTACGAGATTAAATTAGACTTGTGTGCAGTCGGCATAAATGCACTCTTTGTTCTCTTTTCACACATGGCATATTTCCTGGTGGTGCTTTATCTTATGCACCATGGATGGATGGATGGATGGATGTATTCATTTTAAAGTACGTATCTGTGCCTATCGGCATATGCCATACTATAATGATGCAGGTGAAAAATGTTTGGAAAGTAGTAGGTGGAGAGGAGTTAAGCGTCAATGGGTGGATGAGACATCGAGTATCAGGTGGTATGGAGAGTAAAGCGGAGTGAAGAAATAACACATAAGGACATGCATCCCCTGCACTGGAAAATAGTAACAAATGATGTGGAGAAATGTAAAGCATAGTGAAGAAATAGTGCATAGAAGAGACACGCAACCCCCAGTGCAGGGGGTGCACAGTTTGCTGCTGTAAGCCCAGAAAGGTGACGAAGAAAGTGGGGTGTGTGGGCACAGTTCTTGTGGGTGAATTGGGTGAAGGCTCCATGTGTTGTTGGATTGATACCCCAGGCCTAGGGTTTGGCTATGTCTCGGTTGGCTGTTCAGCATGACAGCAGTTCTTGTGGGTGGGTTGAGGCGAAGCATGTTCTTGTGAGTGTCATATCCATACAATCCCGACCCCCGCTCCGGGCTCCCGGAACTCCGAACCTGACTTCCGGAGCCCTACTTCCCTTCCGTCACCTCCTCCTTGCCGACTCCCAAGAGGTTATCCCACCTCCGGCTCTGACACCACCTTCGGTCCGACTCCGGGACATTCCGGGTCCGACCCCAACCTCGACACCTTCCAGACGAGTATGCAAAACCTAAGCTCCTGACTCCGGACCTCCGCTCCGGAATCCCGTTCGCGTCTCTGTCTCCGGAACCTCCGGTCTTAGCTCCGACCTCGGACTTTGACCCCACCTCCGCTTATACCCATTGTATTGGTTAGCTCATTCCATTTAATTATTGTTTGCCAATATTCCGGAGTTTAACTTCCGAGTTCGGACTTTCCGGACTTATGTCGGACCTTGCAACTATTGCATTGCTCCATTCAATTCTGCTATTCTCCCTCATTCCTATTTGGGCTGCTGCTTCCTTTCTATTCAGTCAGCTAGCCATTCCCCACTCCCAACCTCCTTCCTTCCTCCTTGGGCCTTGGCCCTTCACTCCTCCTTTGGGAAACACCATTGAGTCAAACCCTTGACCCTCGGTGTTGTTCCTCTTTCCATCTCCCTTTGTCTCCTTTTGTCCTACCCTTGTTCCTTTTGATTCCGGACCCTTCCTTATATACAATGTACCTAGTAACTTGTAACCTCAGTCCGAAATCGACATGAATTCCCCCAAGAGACTTTCCCTCTGCTAGATCCGAAATTAGGGACCCCTAGGACAACCAGCAATGGCACAGCGCTCCGCCTGAGTCACTGAGGCCGAGGTCCTTCCATGCTAAGTCTCCGATTCCACTCCGGAGTCGTCCGAATCCGCAAGTTCTAACAGTGAGATTGCATCTCGGTTGGCGGTTCAGTGTTTAGGATGCAGCCGAGGGTGTTAAGTGGCTTCCAGCTCATGTGTTCAATAAAGACATGTGGTGGAGGGGCCGTCGGTTGAAGAGGTAGTGGAGAGAAATGAAAGTTTTGCAGTGATGGCAGCCTGGCGTTACCACTATCACACCTCATCACTCTAAGAGGTAGTGGAGAAAGTGAGAAGGAAGTGAGTTGGGGTGATTGTCAGGGCACACCCGCCTGACCCCGCGCCACACCCCATGCCGTACCGCACTACCCCATTATCACTCCCTGTCTCCCCTCCCCCATTTTCCCCCTTCTCTCTATCTCTATTTCTATTTCTATTCTATGGTCGATTTCCCTTTCTCCATGTACTACTACATACCTGACCCCGCCCCCCTGATTGCCGCACGTGCCACGCACACTCCCGCCTACTGAGCGGCCACCTCCGGGATCTCCCGTGGAGACACCCAGGGAGGTGTGGCTGTGTGCGGAGATGACGTGGCTTCCTCCACGTGACCCTAGCCGCATGTATATAATAGTGCCTGGGGTGGGAACAGAAGAAGCAGCCTTCTTCTCAACTTCCCACTTCAGCTTAAGTGGTCGGGGATGCTCACCCTGCGACGGGATCGCTGCTATGCACAGCCGCTACTCGTCCCACCGAGTCCTGCACACAGGGACCTCGCCGCTTTCGGAGCTGTCCCTGACAGCAGAAGAAGGCTTCAACCTCATCTCCCCCGCCTCCCCCGCTATGGTGACCGAAGAGCAGTACAATGAACTGCTGTCCCAATTCCACGAGCTCCAGGCCATCGTAGAAAGCCAAGCTCAGAACCAACCCCCAGCCGCGCCTGCACCGGCGCTGGTCCCCGCACCAACACCAGCACCCGCCCCTAGACCCAAACCACCTAAAGTCGCCCCCCCCCACTGCCTTCTCTGGAGCAGCCGAAGACCTTGACCGCTTCAAGGCTGA